ATTATGAGTTATTTAAGAATTTTTTAATTTTAAAGCAATAAATAAAAATATTCAAAATATTTGTAACATTACTTATATAATTTTGACATTCTTAAAAATCATTTTATTCGTTCATTAAACAATATTAACATTTTATAAACAATTTTTATTGTTTTTAAACAATTTGCAAATGTTTTAAACAATTTTTAAACTATCAAACTATCAAAGAATATATATCAAATAAATTAATGTATTTTAAACAATTTTTGACTAATTAAATAAATTAAATACAAAGCAGAGTAATGAGAAACGCTTTGACACGATGCAAATGTCTGAAGTGCCGTGCGCCGTTGTGCCGAACCTGATCGCGCGAATTCTGTTCCATTCGTTAACTTCAATAGCTCACAGTTCAAATTCTATTCATCGGATCGCTTTTTGACACAGAGCTTTTCGTCTCAGAATTTCAGGAAGAATACGTTGACAACGGGCGATATGTTGACAACGGTCAGTTCTGGGATATCCTGTATATAACAAACTACAACGCGAAACATGACATTTTCTCGGCAAGCAAGATTTTGGTTGCTAAAGTTTTTTATATGAAATAAATTCAATTAATTATATCACCAACTACCTCAATTAATTATATCATCAACTATGCCGCTTTGGTTTAACAGATTTTCAACGTAGTGACTCTATAATAATTAGATAATCAAAATTTTTTATATAGATTATTAAAATCCCTTATTATCCCCCCCCCTCTCATCGGAAATATATATTGCGAAAAATATGACCTCAGTCAGGGATCCTGAGATGGCCTGCTACACACACACACACACACACACACACATACATACACACACACACACGCACGCACGCACGCACGCACGCACGCACGCACACATACATACATACATACACACGGTGTCGCAGAGCAATGGGAACTATTTTCGTGTGTGGATAGAGCGGGCTAAACTGAGTCGAAAAGTCCTCTACCATTTTACAATTTTCGCAATAGTTAACAAGTTATGCAAATGCGATAAGATACTCCCGCCCGGCGATTATCATTACTAGGCGATTATCGTTACTAGGCACGAGGAATTTTTTTTCTTCAAGCGGCAATAGTTACAGCTATATATTGAAGTAAACAATTCTTCGCGCATCTACCAACGATGATCGCCAGGCGGGAATATCTTACCACAGTATATACCGTAGCGCAATTCTCCCAATTTTATGTTGGCCAATACGGAGTGCGCATACGCGAGATAAGTAAGTTGCCCGAAATAAGTAATGCCATCTAATCTTCTTTTTCACTTCTTTTTTCTTCATTCTTTCTCTTTCTAACAAAATATATCGTTTAAATGTCTAAATATTTGTGATATTTGTGACATTTATGTCTTAATATTTTGATATTTGAGTTACATTATTAATTTTATTAAATGCATAATTAGTATTTATAAGTATAACGCGATTTTTTTATTTTATTTTATTATATAATATTTAAATAAAAAATTTAAATAAAATGAAATAATAAATTGAAATAAAATTATATTTCTTACTATATTGTAAAAAAATATAATCATATTTTATCATATAATCGTATTTAGAAAAATGGTTTACCCGTTAGTAAAATATTTATTTTCATTATTTTCACATTTGAATACCTTTCTATATAAATTTTTGTATATTTACTATTATAATACATAAAATTATTGTAACACATAATACTTTTATACAATTACATTTAGCTTCTTTTCTTTTTTTTGTTACATTACGTAACATACCAGACACACACACACACATCATATTTTTATAGTATAATATTTATATTTTTAAATCGCATTAACATATCATTACATTTACATTTACATATTTTATATTTTACATCTTTCCTGACTTTTATGTTTATTCCTTATTTTTCAATGTATTATTAAATATTTCTAAATCATATTTCTTAAACAATACATATAGGCCGAATACATATTAACTAACAAACTATAACGCGAAACATTTCCAAGTAGGCTAAAGTCTTTTAATATGAAATAAATTCAATTAATTATATTACCAACGTGCCGTTTTAGTTTAGCAGATTTTCAACGTAGTGGCTCTATAATAATTCGATGATCAATATTACTGATATCGATTAAAATTATCCCCTCCATCAGAAATATATATTGCGAAAAATATCATTTCAGCCAAGGATCGAACCTGGATCGCCTGCTTTTCGGGCAGGCGTCTTATCCACTAGACCATTGAGGCTATTTCTTAATCTTTTAAATATAAATTATTTTCAATATATTAATGAGTTAAAAAAAGAATAACAAAGAGGATAAAATGAGAAGGAAGATAGCGATACTAATTAACTTACTTATTTCACGCATGCGCATTCTATTTTGGCTGACATCAAAAGTGCCGACAGAGAATTGCGCTACTGTATATACTATATATATGTGATCTCACTGCGCGCTTTTATTGCCGGTGGGCCTCTAATACGATGATTTTTAAGAATTGATATGCTATACGAAGTTTATACGACAT